GTTGACAGGCGAAGCAGAAGAGCTCAGCTCGGTTGGTCTCCTTGTGACCATCATCATCATGGTAGAGGGCGTTCTGGAAGCTCAAAAAGGCAGCTTGAGCGCCGGGTCTAGGAGCCCCAAGGCTCCTAGTTGCATAGCCCCAAGGCTCTTAGTTGTCCAGGAGCCCCAAGGAGTTAGTTACCTGCGATGGGTCTGACCATCCTGCTCGGATGGCGAGGAGCTGGGGAGATCTAGTTTCCAGTTTGGGTCAAACACCATAAGCTTAAGTTAAAATAAAAAGGAAAAAAAAAAAAAAAAGGCTTTGCAGACTGTTCTCCTACTTTTCTGAGTTTATGCAAGTCTGTGATACTAAAAGCACTGTGGCAAGTGTTGCCTCACTTTCTAAATGATAATTCTATCTGTTGCCGCTACTAAGAAGCGATACTTCCTAACCCATAAAATACAGATTTGTGTAAACCAGACAAAGTCAAGAGAGATGGGACCCAGCAGAAAGAATTGCTGGGATATTGTTTCTAAGATACATTTGTTTCGGTTCTGCACGGTTGAGAGGTGGCATTTCTCTAGGGCCTTTGAAGAGAGGGATGTTGTGTTCCTGGGGGACAGTGCAGGAGGAGACCTGTTAGGCCCAAGTCATGGCATCGTTAGTGAAATGGAGAGTTGTTTCTGAGTTTTGTGCTTTGTATACTTGTTTAAATATACAGATGTGCACCAGCATCAAAGCTGAGTGATGACGGTTAATGTCATCAAACGTACAAAGCTGAATTTTCTTTCAAGGTTTAATGTAGATCAAACCATGCAAAAATAAAGCCACGATGGGGAGAGGTAAGTGATTTTAATGAGAATACATTAAATCTCAGTGAAAGCTTCAGATGCTGGGTTTTTTCACATTTTTATAGTAGAGAGTACTGCTGCGAAGCCTTAAGTGGGAAGTTCCACAGAATATAATAGTACGTAGGTGGGGGGTAGAAAGTTGAATCTTCAAACCACATAAATGCAGAGCAGTGTATGCTTGTAGTAGAAGTAACTTCCTTCTTGAGCCTGCTTTCTCCACATTTGAATGACTGGAAACCATAATTAGTAGTAATTGTGTTTGTTCCAAAGATGGAAATCATTAGCATAAAAAAAAAAGATCACAACCATATATACTAGCATTGTAATCTGGAGAACATTCTCCCTCGCTTTGAAAAGGCACCAGCTAGAGTCTGTAAGCAATCCAGTATACATCCGTGACCTTTAATGTACAAAAGATTAAAGCATGTTTACACGAGAACAGAAAATGTTGAAATTTTGAGAAAGAGCTTTATCCACATGCTGGTGGTAACTGATGCTCGTTGTTCATGTGCGATTCTGGCCTCGTCTGAACTGCAGTTGGGAAAAGAAGTCCTTTTCAGTGGAGGATTCAACATGGAACCAAAACCATAGGAGTGTCTGTGGATCCCAGCACTTCAGTCTGGTTCCTACGTTCAAAGCCCGTTTGAAAGAGGCTCTGGTTTCCTCGGAGTCTGGCCTGCTCCACCCACCGCTCACTACAAGTCCTATAATAACAAAACTCTGTAAACATGCTAAAAGTGATTTAAAACAATTTTTTGGGGGGAAAAAAGGTAAATTTGGGGCTCTAGAAATGGATTGGGATGAAAGCTTATTTCTGATAAACATTTTTTAAAAATGTTTGGATTTGACAGTATCCACCTAAGCTTGTGTTTTAAAAGTAGGATCTATATCACAACTCATTGCCATGGAAATGCCAGAAATACCCTTACTGAAAGCGGTTGGCATTCAGTAGTGCTTATGTGTGCCTGAGACAACAGGAACATGGACTGCTATAAAAGCAACAGGGGAAAAAAGGGTAAATAAAAATCCTACGGTCAATATTATTAATATTAGATATTCCTCTCTAAGCCAACCATTTCCAAAAGCAGGAGTGCTGCACAAAGTGCCATTTTCCATGTGCCTTTTACTTTTACTCTTACTTGCCAGACTTTAATTAGCTATCTTCTTCTCAGCATTTGCAAACCAGAAACATCTGCCTTCAGCAGACTGAACTCAGAGATGTGCTCAGGTGAACAGGCTTTGGGAAGTCTGGGCAAGGCAGGTATCCTGCGCTGTTAGGTTGAAATTGTGATTTCACGTGGGCGTTGAAGATGTTTTCTGTCTCCTTTTAAAAAGATGTGTTAGGTGCGTTCCCTTGAGAGGTACACGTTGGAGGTATTGCTAGTGGTATCCCAAGTTTTAGGTTATTTCAGACTTGAAAGGTGCTGAATATCCTTGTTTCTCAGTGGAGAAGACTGACAGAAAGTCAATGAGCATTTGAACTGGCTCCTACAAATAGGACTCCCAGATGAGTAAGTTAATAACTGCTTTGTGCATTATTGCACAATACCTGTTGTTGGCCACTATGAGAGACAAAATACTGAAAAGCCAGACAACTACTCTGCTTCAGCAGCTCACTTTGTGGATTTTTGTTTTGCGTTCACTGTGTGACGATCCACTGATAGGTAAAGCTGCCACATAATTTTTCATATTTGAGGTTAACCCTTCTGGGAACTGATCCTCTGAGGGGTGTTTTGAAACTTAAAATCCAAACAAAACCCATCTTCAAATAAGATTCCAGACAAAATCCTTCCCCAAGACAACAGGGGAGAATGCAAATGGGAAAGAGTGTTTTCTCGTAGGCTTCAGCCTTTGCTGTAGCTCAGCAGACTCTTACATTGCATCTGGTGATAGGAATCTACAAGGTCTATGTACGTATAATATAGAGAGGGGAAGCAGGGAGCACCTATAAATATTAATATTCCTCTGAATGCTTGTTTGTATGTAGACAGGCTCCCAGGGACATTGCCACGTCTTGTAGGTGTCAAGCCCTGTATAATTTGCCTCGTTCCTTCTTTTTCTCCCCAGTACAAAGCTATTAAAAGGAAAAAAAAATAAAAATGCTTGCAGCTCAGTCCTGGTGACTGGCTCAGTAACACAGGAGGCAGTGTTCAGCGGCAGCCCTGCAGTAAAGAAACAAATACGCACATGTAACAGAGAATACCAGATTTCACTCAGGAAACCAACTTTCACTTTGAGCTTCCAAGCAGCTAGTGTAAATAACAGACGGCTCGGCTTTTGAAAAATGCAAAAAAGCTCTGGACTGGCCCCTTCAAATGACACTAAGCAAATTAATGAAAAAAATTTGGACTCTTTTACTTATGCAAATAAGGAACTCCATTTAAATCCCACGAACTTCACTGCAGCAAACGGATGTGAGGTCAAAACTGAACTCCCCCTGCCCTCCCTTGTACCGCATGCAGCTATCTTTAGCTTTTCCTAGATCATGATTTGTATAAATGCATCGTGGAATGCAGTTGCTCGGGTGATCTCTTATTCCCTAATTTCATGCTGATTGGCAAGGTCACATTTGGCTGACTGAACGGCTTTGGAGTTACCACCTTGTTTAAAGAACAGCAGAGGGTGGACCCTTGCAAAGCCACGCGTGCACACGCTGCGGTGCGTCCCGCCCGGCTTGGGAAACCTCTGGAGCCCGCCAGGACCCTGTGTGGTTTTTCCTTTGTGCCTTTCCAGAGGCGTGTGACAAGGAGTTTTGTAAACCAAATGTTAAGTCCTTTGAAACTCAAATCCCTCGATCTTTTTCACCTGCGTTTTAACTCTTGTAGCTAATCACTGCTAAGGGCAGTCCTGCAGGTGCCCACCTGGGGAGGCTGCCCGGTTGGTGGAGCTGCCCGCAGCATTGGTGAGCCTGTCCGTAGGAGCTGGTTTGGCGTTTGCTTGCAGTCCGGTAGGACGCAGAGCCCTGCTTCCGTTCCCTTTTGTGGGAAGAGGAGAGGTGGTCTTGTGAATGAGTGACTGGGTAAAGGCTACGGAAGAAAGGGGGGAATAAGAGCTGGGAGGTTGGAGGCAGTTTGGGTGGGATGCTGGGGGCTTGGAGTGAAGCTTGGGTGGCACGGGGGAGCAGGCTGTTCGCTGACGGCAGACTTGACTGAGAACGTGAGGAGGTGTCAGTGTTGTCTGGGTGTGAAGCTCACTTTCTTTTAACCCCCTTTCAAACAAGAAGGATCTTTTGGTACTGAATCAGAGCATGATTCAGCAGTGAAACCTCAGGCTGGGAAAAGCCCGGGCGAAGGGAGGTGGGGAGGCACTGTGACTGCACGTGCGGAGGGGTGGCAGGGGAGCTGTGCTCAGGCTGCTGTGCTGCTCGCCGAGATGCCCGTCAGAAATGCGGTGGAGAGGACAGTCCTTTGCAGGAGTATTTCAGTCTGTGCTCCGGGATGCAATACGCAGGGACAGATGAACCCTTGAAGGTGGCACAGCTTTGGGTGCCGAGCTGTACCTCTGGGCCGTCTGCACAAAGGTTTCAAAGCTGCTTCAGTTCTTGAAAACCAGCTTTGCGAGGCTGATCTGTCACATAATTATGCTCTTGTAAGGGGGTGCAGTGGCCTCTCGCCTCCTTGGGGAGCCCAGCTGGAGGGCGGCCGGGCTGCTTGCTGCCATCTCCAGCGTGGCAGAGGGTGTGAAGCTGGGTGTCCTCAGCTCCTGCCTCCCTAACCAAGCTCACCTTGGCAGCTCAGGGAGAAGCATGGGTATCACTAGGGCCATCTGCCTGGAGCCATTCCCGTGCCCTGGGCTGCTCCACGTTCCTGCTGGTATCTGCAAATGCAGCGAGAAAGCAGCTGGGCTGCCGGGGAGCAACCTCTCCCTGTCCCCCGCTGCCCCTCTCAAAGGCAGGAGCTTGACATTGTTTACAAAACCAAACTCCCGTGG